TTGGAAGCATCAAGAAAACACACAAACATATTACTTCCCATGGTGTTGTAATGACGAATTATTTCTTTGAGAACAAGAATACACAAATCAGTTGAGTGTTTCTTCTTAAAACCAAATTGGTTGTCTATAGTTTCAATGTAGGATTCACACCTCACCAGCAGAACGTGCTCCAAGACTTTCGACAACACTGATGTTATTGCTATTGGACGATAATTGTCAGGGCTGGTGACGTCACCATTATGGATTTATGGATTTTATGGATTTATATTTATAAAATTAGCAATTAGTGACTAAATTTACACGTTTTATTCAACATTTTTCATTTTTAAAAATACGGCATTCTTTTCAATTTCTTCACAGTACTCATTTGAATCTTCAATTAAAAAATATTTTCTTGGCAGTCACGTGACAACATGACGGTTATTTATAACGTAACATCGGTTTTTAAATAATTTAATTTTAATTATGAGCTTTTATAAAATATATAGTTTCATATGTTTTAAAACAGTTCTTATAAGAAAATAATAAGTATGAAACCACCAATATAGTATGTGTCATATCGACGAATTTATTTCGAAACAAATGTAATCAGTGGACATCCCATGATTCTGGTCAATTAGCCCACTACAGGTGGCGCTATTCGGTGTTTACTGGCCAGGGAAACATTCAAAGCGTCAGCTGGGTGTTTTCACCTGGTCAGCCAGCACGACGACTACCTTGAGACATAAACAATATTGTGCAGGTAGTGTTGTCGATAACAATAACGTTGTTGACAGGGTTACATAAGTTAGGATTACTCAGTGGTGTGTGCCCTTTTAAGACAATAGTTGGCACAGGCACTGAAAACTGCGATATAAACTCTAACCACAGTTCCTCTCCATAGAGGGACTGTGCTCTAACCCTAACCATGGAACTATAAACCATATAAACTATAGTTCCATGCCCTAACTTTAGGTCTATGCCCTAACCGTCTCAAAAAATTGATAAGCAAATACTTACAAAACTAAAGGTGCTTATTACAAATTGGAAATCTGCATACGTATTCAAAACTGACAACTGACGTCAGTGAATTTCCTCGGTGCACCCGCAAGAACATTGAAAGTTACAATTTTAACCCAAATCACGCTGCTCAGGCTGTAAATAAATTATGGCCCAAACAATAGTCACGAGAACAAAAGAACCAATTGATTCGTTGGACGCGATGAAAGAATAGACTGTGCACCACGATTAATGACATAACTGGATAAAACGTGTCATAGTCGTCTCTGCCACCACAGTCACTCTACTGTGCTGCCACTAACAAGCTGAAAAGTGGTGTTTTTGATCTTTGTACATTGATTTTTTTCTCGGGAAGGGCGTTAGATATACGATCGCGGGAATTCATACAACACATAACTTATGGTACAACAAATTGTTATACATTTATTCCAGCAAACATTTCTAAATCGAATGCAGTGACCTGTAACTTCATTTTACACTATAGCATGACAAATGTTTGTTAAATCGACATAAATTCAACACAAATGCGTGTCCGTTCAAATTGGTGCCGGTTCTCTCGTACATTGCGGTGCCGGGTTGGTTTTGGTGCCGGGATCTCTTGTTTCCGCATGACTCAGTACTCCCGTTACGTTTAATTTTTTAAAGTCTACGTGTGTAAAAAAAATGGTCATACAACCTATATGTCTCTCTTCCGAACTTCCTATATGATACAACATTTCCCAGGTTTAAAAAAAACAAGTACAATACTTACCCATGTTCGTACCTGTGTGGAACCTCCGCTGTTGGTTGTTTAATAACACACCCGGGTGCGATGTCCCGGTCGTTTTCGTGTCACGTGTTTACAAACAAAATGCATTCTTGTATTAGGTATTGTTAACAATCCAAACTGTAGCTAAAGCCGACCACAGACACAACACGACTAGAATATTCCAAACTTTCCAAATTGAAATTCAGTGACAGTTTTACAGAGTGGAATTGGACTGAACAATTATTCTTTCATTTCGCCTTGAAAGTTAACAGTTCTTTTTATCGTTCAGTTCAGTTGACGTGGAATATTGAACTATATTATTTGAACTTCTACGTGCCGGGCTTAGAACAGCTTTCCAGTTTGTAATCATATAATCTACAACTGTAGGTGTTAGTCCGAAAATGCATTGTCTTTTCCTGTTTGTGATTGGCCCTGGCAACGTTTGGGGACTGTACGAATATAAGCAGCAAGCCTGACTGGACTGCTATACACACTTATTACACCACATATCGCATCACACCATACACAAAATATATATATAAACAATATACATTGTCTGTCAACATTCGCGTCTTTCAAATTTGTTAGCTATTTTATTCTGCGTATATACATAGATATTAGTTCAGCATTAGTTAATAACAAGATACATCATCGTACTCTCGTCTTTATTTTTACACTTCAAGTGTTTGACAATACCCGTATTGTTACAAAATATGGCTGGCGAGGTCCTATACAATGTTTGTCGAATGACAACTACTAAATGTTGAATAACACGCATTGACTGGTTGATTATATTACTGTCGTGACTATAGGTGTTATTGATACTTTCGATTACGTATTGGTTGTTGCCCTCTAAAGTGATATCGTCGTGTCGCATGACATGTGCCCCCTGAAAGGATATGTCGTACGAACAAACCTCTGCCATATGCACTAACTTTCAATACTATGACGTGAACTAAATAGACTGATCATTCTCTTTAAAGTGGACTATTGTACGTTGAATTGTATAAATATATATTTAAAAATTCTGCACAAATAAACGAATAATTTATAAATTGTGTGCAACATCAATGTGTGAGCAAAAACAAAATATTAATTGGAAATCCAATTCTAAAACTTATATATATAGCAAATTTGAACTTCACATATCATTTACATATTGATTTTGAAATACTGATACAAACAAATTATTGGTTCCAATTATTAATCGTGTTGGTGAGAAAGGAGTCCGTATCGCGATATCCCAGCCACCCTGAGTTATTACACACGGAAACTATTTAAGTGAGCGTTGTCGATTATATTTATAAGACTACACATCATTCACGGCGACTCCCAGTAAGCTTTAACCATCATTACAACGTATTCGTCAAAACTGATCTTGCCGTCTCCATCCTCGTCCGCTTCTACCATAATTTTGTGCACCTCTTCATCGGTGTATGTTCCAGTCTTCTTGACTAGCGCCAGCTTCAGTTCATTTAACGAAATGTACCCGTTACCGTCTGCGTCAAGTTCGGCAAATTGAGACCGAAGTGTGGACACTTTTGGACCTTTAACGGTACAAGTAAGAATGCATGACACTCGTTATTGTTTTTATAATGCAAGGATACGTAATATTATTACCCCCAAATATTTTTCCATTTTTAAGTACACCCTAGTCTGACATGGTGACATGGTCGGCGATAGTTTTTGCGCCCTCGGCGACCATGTCAGGCTAGTATAAGTATAACGCCTCCATATATTGACGGCTGTTTAACATAACTGTCAATTTCATTAGTAGTTGAGTGTAGTCGTTTTTTTTTGTCCGTATGCACATAATTTTCATAATTTTCTGTTTTGAAGTAGGGCGGGTCGTTTGTTTATATTTCATGAAAAAAGTTTGATTGCCAAACAAGACGGTTCACTTCCTCTCAAAGGAAAGTTGATTTCATACTAAATCGTCACTTACTTGTTTCATGCTTGGGAAACAAGACACTCTTCGCAGACCTTTGTTGTGATGAAGCGAGTTGCTGTTTGCCAATCCAGTAGACTGTGAACTCGTTGAAATCGATTCTAGAATCTCCATCAGTATCAACCTCCCTCATGAACGCGTACACCTCCTCCTCCGTGAACTTCATATTTTTTCGTCGCAGTCCTTCTTTTGAGTTCGCTTATCGTTATAAATCCATCCCCGTCAATATCAAAGTGGTTAAACACAGTTCGAATTTTGCTCGGTGTCGTACCACGCTGTGTCTGGTCACCTAGAACGAAATTAAAACTGCTAAGAGAACGCCCTCCTGCGACAATAGTTTGAAAGAGAAAGACGATCATCATCGCTGAAAATGCAAATGACTGTGTCTCAGTGAAGATATTGATTAATTACAACACGATTTAGAATTTCGGTGATTATTTTTGTCCGATGGTGGTAAGATACAGGTTCATTGGCACTCACCCCAAACAAATGTTTAAATTAAATAAGTTGAAACAGAATTATAATTTTTTTATATACTAGTACATTCAACAATACTTAAAAATCAACTCTTTCATGACTGTGAACTTCGAAATTGCAAACCGTGAAAGAAAAGCTGGACGTTAGACAAATTGAGATCAATATCTCAACTTTGTTTTTGAAGTGTGACAATGACGTCGATCTTGCTAAGGGTTGAGAATTGACCTTTTTTATTTCAGCTAGGAGAGAATATTTTCTCTGCAGCCTTGAAGCGATTTATCACAAATATCTGAGAATCATCGGCATTAAAGGAAACATTATTATCATAACAGGTAAATATGTCCTCATAAGATAGAATCGGGTCGAACCCAGTACGAAACCCAGAATACTATTTTAGGTGGCCGCTGATTGACGAATTGAAGGTATAAGAATATTTGCGTGGCTCTGAATTATTCCGCAACAATCTGGTAATGGTTTGTTTCTTCAAATTTTACAACCACTAATAGTAAGATTTTTAAACTGCACCGATTTGATTGGTCAAGCTATTCAAATGTACACACTTTTTAAAAAGATATTGGTCCTTTGTTTTCAGTGATGTACCTGTGCTCGGCCAACGTGCACGTGCCTTTGTTGTGAATCAGGGGGCACATTCAAAGAGTGTAAATAATGGCTGTTGCGTTGCGTCAAAATGCTACCCGAGTGAAATATGCATTTTTCTTCCAAGTAATTTTTCACGAAATTTGCTTCAACATAATATGCGTAATTTCAACTCTGTAAAAAATCGAGTTCTACGTTCTCCTTTCGTATGATTGACAAGGTGAATGAACTTTATCGTCACGAACTTCGAAAGTAAGTCGGATCTGCGCACGTAGACAAGATATTAAGCCACCAGCGACAGGATGATTTTTTTTTTTGCCCCGCGCGCTGACAAGACTCTGGTCTGATTTGTTTGGTCTGAAAAAATCTACACTTAACCTTCTCTTGAGAAACACGCAGAAATAAAATGTGAACATTCTAAATCTACTGGACGCAAACACTCACAAACCGTATTGAAGAATCAAAACGACGTCGTGTGAAATTGCAGAAGTGGGTATTGACGTAGTACGATTTGAGACGCGCTAACCACGTGTCGTTTTATTTCCTCCCAAGCGTACCACTGTACGTCTATTATTTCTTCCGACATTACTGGGTATTATATTTACACGCATTGATGAATCACCTGTTGTCCTTTATTCTCAAAATGAAACTGCACATGCGCACGCACGCGAAACGTAAACAATTACGACCTTCTCCGACAATTCATGTAATAAATAAACTACGCCATACCAAATACAATGCGTTTATGTTGTGCTGGCGTTTGTCGTTGAATAATTCAGACGATTTCAATACGATTATTGTAATACATTTCTTGACGTTTTGTCGGAGTACTGCTTTTATCCACGACAGCTTCGCATGGGAACTCACTCATCCGCCCGTCGAAACAAACAAAGTGTATGTCATGTTCATGGTTTAGGTTGAGTATTTCAGAAGAGTTTAATACATTTGCCACAAGTTGTCAGAAAGCAGTTGATCTGTCTCTCTAACCTAACCACTGTATCTTTGCGGGAACGTCTTTACAAGCATACAGTATGTATGTCATGTTGGCTTTGATCGATTAAACACGATTTCAAAACGATTATTGTACTAAGGTCTATTGACGATGTGTTGGTAGAAAGGTAGACCTCCAGGGTTGGAGTAGGGCTGCACAGCTTGTTGTGTCAACGACAGCTTTAAGGAAGATAATTCTTATGTGATGACGCCATTCTTGTTGCGGAATTCCGTTTATTAACGACTAAACTGATATTACGTTGTAAGCCGAAAAAGATGATCTCTGAAAGGTCAAGTGAAGTCATTTCACTGACTTTGCACAATCCAGTCATATTTCTCTGGCTTGTCATGTTTGTTTTGTGTCTGGATTCGTCGAACAATGCGTTTCACGACGTCTCCTGGTTACATAGAAAGATACAATGTTCTTATCAGCATGAATAAATACAATACTTACTCATTTTCGCGTCTAAATTTCCTGTGGCAGTGTTGCCATTTGATTAACACAGAATTTCCGGGTTCGAGACCCTGGTTACTTTCAAGTCACGTGTTGTGTAACAAAGAGTTTAAACACAATAGGGTATTGTCGAATGCCAGAACGTCCCAATTGCACAACACGACATGCGTATTTAAAATACAGAAATCGGTAGGAGGACGATCCGGCTCTGGTTGGTTGCGGCCTTGGTAAAAAAAGACGATCTCGCCCTGGTTTGGATGTTCCGGCCCCAAAACGGCCCTGGTATAAATTATATTCGATACGTGTTCATATCTAATGTTAATATATTAAATGCACAACGAATGCTTGACTGTCTTGCTTAACAACTATTTTTCGTCTTTTGCAGGGCATTTTCACGATTTCACACCATTTTTTACACAATGCAACAGATGTTTTTGCTTTTACTCGCCGCCGCCTTTGTACTAAGCATCAGATGGCCCGAGTGATTGTTACTGTGCACGTGGACATGTGTGGCCCGCAGACAGATATGTAAAGGGCGCATAAATACACTAGTTGGAGTC